GGAGCAGCAGCAGGAGGAAACAGGAGGAAACAGGAGGAAACAGGAAGAAAAAGTAGCTGAAATGATTCTTTTCTATGGGTTTCAGAAGTTACATTAAGGAGTTTTAGGGCCAATTTTGCTGCTTTTCCGTCCTTCACTGCCATGGGGATTTGTCGCTGGGAGTGGTTCGATTTTAGGCGACTGCCTTTTGAAGATGCCTGCAGCAGCAGCAGCAGCAGGAGGAAACAGGAGGAAAAAGTAGCTAAAATAGCTCATTTTCTCTAGGTTTCAGAAGTTACATTAAGGAGTTTTTGGGCGCAATTTTGATGCTTTTCCGTCCTTCACTGCCATGGGGATTTGCCGCTGGGAGCGGTTCGGTTTTAGGCGACTGCCTTTTGAAGATGCCTGCAGCAGCAGCAGCAGCAGGAGGAAACAGGAGGAAAAAGTAGCTAAAATAGGTCATTTTCTCTAGGTTTCAGAAGTTACATTAGGGAGTTTTTGGGCGCAATTTTGAAGCTTTTCCGTCCTTCACTGCCATGGGGATTTGCCGCTGGGAGTGGTTCGGTTTGAGGCGATTGCCTTTTGAAGATACGTTTTTGAACAGAAGGAGTAGCAGGAGCACCAGCAGCAGCAGCCGCAGGAAACAGTGTCTTCAGCAGCAGGAGAAACATGTAGCTAGAATCATCACTAAAATCATCATAGCTAAAATCATCACTAAAATCACTAAAATAATCATTTTCTATGGGTTTCAGAAGTTACATTAGGGAGTTTTTGGGGGCAAATTTGATGCTTCTCCGTCCTTCACTGCCTGGGGATTTGCCGCTGAGAGTGGTTCGTAGGAGCGTCTTCAGCAGCAGGAGAAAAAAGTAGCTAAAATCATCATTTTCTATGGGTTTCAGAAGTTACATTAGAGAGTACTCTTGCTTTAACTATGGGTTTCACAAGTTACATTAGGGAGTTTTTGGGCGCAATTTTGATGCTTTTCCGTCCTTCACTGCCATGGGGATTTGCCGCTGGGAGTGGTTCGATTTTAAGCGTCGCAGCTAGCCACCAGCAGCAGCAGTAGGAGCTTTTCCGTCCTTCACTGCCATGAGGATTTGCCGCTGGGAGTGGTATTTAAGCGTCGCAGCCAGCCACCAGCAGCACTAGCACTGCCATGGGGATTTGCCGCTGGGAATGGTTCGATTTTAGGCGTCGCAGCCAGCCACCAGCAGCAGCAGAGCAGCAGCAGCAGCAGCAGTAGGAGCGTCTTCAGCAGCAGGAGAAAAAAGTAGCTAAACAACATAACAACAACAACAACAACAACACCAACACCAACAACAACACCAACACCAACAGCAACAGCAACAACAACAACAACAACCATGTGCCACCTCTGCTGTGCTCTCGACAGTCCATAAGCTTCATGTTTATATAGGCTGCAATTTTCTTAGATCAAGTCGTGTCTTTGGTACCGGAGCATACTATGCTCTCGACAGTCCATAAGCTTCATGTTTATATCCGCCGACCCCGGCAGACGCAAGGGGGAGTGCGTAAGGGAAAAAGAGTTTATGACACAGCTGCCAGGAAAGAATAATAATAATTCGCTGACCCCGGCCGATGCAAGGGGGAGCATACAGCTGCCAGGAAAGAATAATAATAATTCACTGACCCCGGCCGATGCAAGGGGGAGCGCGTAAGGGAAGAAGAGGTACTGCACTGCTACTTTTACTACCAGGCTAGCAGCAGACAGCAGCAGGCAGCAGGCAGCAGGTAGCAGCCAGCAGCAGCCAGCAGCAGCCCGCACCAGCCAGCAGCAGCCAGCAGCAGGCAGCAGTAGGTGTCTGGCAGGCAGCATCCGGCAGCAGCAACCAGCAGCAGCCGGCGTTAGGCAGCCAGCAGCAGCCAGCGGCAGCCAGCAGCAGCCAGCAGCAGCCAGCAGCAGCCAGCAACAGCCAGCAGCAGGCAGGAGCAGGCAGCAGCCAGCAGCAGGCAGGAGCAGCAGGCAGCAGCAGGCAGCAGGCAACAGGATTCTATTTTAATTTTATTTTATGGCAGCAACAGCAAGAGCAACAGCAACAGCAACAGCAACAGCAACAACAACAACAACAACAAGAACAACAACAACAACAACAACAACAATGACCCTTTGCCGGGGGACCCTGTTGGGTCCCCCTCCCACCGGTCACGTACGTCGATTCATTGACTCCAGGGTTTTTGTTTTACCGGTGGGGGGTCCTTCCCGGAGTCTCCTCGAGGTACGTGGGGCTCCTTGGTTGCCCTTCCCGCCCTGATCTGTTCGTTCGAGGCCGCATCCTCGAGGTTCAAGTTCGATGGTAACTTTGTGCGAGATCTCGAACACCTTCAGGCGATAGAATCTCTCGAAAAATTGTGTTTTTCTAGGATTTCAGAAGGGATGGTAGAAGGTTTTTTAGCGTGATTTTGACACTTTTTTCGAAGCTGTTTGGCGGTTTCCTGCCGGTAGCTGCTTTTTTGGAAGCTGTTTTACTGCCAGCAGTACTGCCAGCAGGAAAAAGTAGTTATAGGCATACTTTTGATCCTTCACTGCCACGTTTTACGGCCAGTAGCTGCAGGCAACAGAATCCCTCGATCTCTCGAAAAAGGTTGTTTTTCTAGGATTTCAGACGACCCGTTAGGCAGTTTTTAAACGTGGTTTTGAAACTCGATAGATCTACTAAGCTTCTCTAGGATTTCAGAAGACACGTTCGGCAGCTTTTTTGCTGCGATTTTGCGTCCTTTTCGGCACGAAATTAGGTGGTGTTTTACTGTTTCGGACGTGCTTCGAAACAGCAGGGCCAGCTATATATAGTTTTATATTTATAGTTTAGGAGATTTTCGCGGCTTCAGCAGCAGCCAGTAGCCAGCAGCTCAGGAGATTTTCGCGGCTTCAGCAGCAGCCAGTAGCTAGCAGCCAGTAAGTAGGTAGCAGGCCGGTAGCAGCAGCAATAGATCTAACTCTATCTAATTCTAATAAGATTCTTTAGGATTTCAGAAGACACGTTAGGCAGGTTTTTGCTGCGATTTTGTGTCCTTTTCGGCACGAAATTAGGTGGTGTTTTACTGTTTCGGAGGTGCTTCGAAACAGCAGGGCCAGCTATATATAGTTCTCTAGGATTTCAGAAGACACTACTGCTGCTGCTGCTACTACTACTGCTACAGCAGCAGCAGCAGCAGCAGCAGCTAATTTTTTTGCACAGATTGTCTGTTTCTAGGGTTTCAGAAGCAACGTTAGGCAGTAGGGAACGTCCTTCAAGGCCCTGCTGTTTGGGTGTGGCGGAGGCGCCGTTTCTGAGCTTGGAAAGCTAGAAGATGGCTACGTTTCTTGTAGGTTCAGAAAGCACCGTTAGGCAGTAGGGGCCGTTGCCGGCAGGCCCGGTCCGTCCTTCAGGGCCCTGCTGCTTGGGCGTGGCGGAGGCGTCGTTTCTGAGCTTGGAAAGCTCGAAGATGGCTACTTTTCGTGTAGGTTCAGAAAGCAACGTTAGGCAGTAGGGGTCGTTGCCGGCAGGCCCGGTCCGTCCTTCAGGGCCCTGCTGTTTGGGCGTGGCGGAGGCGCCGTTTCTGAGTTTGGCAAGCTCGAAGATGGCTACTTTTCTTGTAGGTTCAGAAAGCAACATTAGGCAGCAGGGGCCGTTGCCGGCAGGCCCGGTCCGTCCTTTCGGGCCCTGCTGTTTGGGCGTGGCGGAGGCACTTAAAAAGACACTTAGCCGAAAACTACATACAAGTCGTACACCTTGTTCAAACCATTAGTGCCAAGAAAAAACATGCTATGCATACTCTGCGCCGTGGCTAGTTGCTGCACCTGCCACTAGCAATAATATTGCACCTTGCCACGGATGGTTTTCAAAGTGCTAAAGGTGCCTGCATACCAACGCATTCTGAACAGACTTGCTAATAGAAACTGATACATCCATCAGGGTTTAGATAAGGGGGGAGGAGTTGTGCAGACGGTTTTGGTAGATACAGAGCGGAATGCACAGGGTGCACAACTACAAAATGCAAGTGCACGTACTTTTTTTCCAGCTACAAAATGAAGAACATAACTCTTTCTGGCTCGGAAAACAATTCAAAACCAGTACTACAAAATCCAATGCATCTGAAGTCAAAAAAATAGCTGAACGTCGGAATTTCTAACATGATTTTTCCCAATGACATTTTGTAGTTGGGTCTTTGAATTCCAAAGTTCCGACCAACATAAATTCGGAGAACATTTTGTAGTTGTCAATGATTGAATTTAGTTGGATCAAGTGTTGACCCCGTGCGGTTTGTTAGATGGCATTCTGTAGCTTCATGATCTGTTTGTCCATGCTAATGAAATTTTATGTTGCATGCTTCAACTGACTCAACATATATAACTACAAATGAAAATGCATGCAACGAAAGGAATCAACTACAAAATGATTCCAAATACAAAATGGGGGGCACAACCCCTCCTGTTTGTACAAAAAAATGCTGGCTGGCAATCTGTACTGTAGCCCAAGTCCTCCCCATTTCGTAGCTGAAATTTGAAGGAGGATATACATCCTCAATATCTAATTAATCGCTCAAGAAAATCAGCAAACCTTCGCTCCCAAATCCTCCAAAAATGACGTGGGAAAATACGATGGCCTAGCATGTCCAACCATCGTATTTTCCCATATGCTTTTCGAACACCAACAACATCATTGCATGCGATACCTGAACCACTAGTGCCACACATGATGGATGCCTGTGTATTTTATTTCAGTTCTGCGCCTTGCCACGGAACAACACAGCACCTTGCCGCAAAAAGGGGGGGATAAATGGGAGGGTTTATTTATTTTATAATTCACGAGCTCAAGACCCACACTCTGGTTGAAGTCGTCGAGGAACTGCTCAGGGGGGTGAAAGGGTTTGGTGGGTAGGTTTTCTTACTATATCAAATATTTTATCAAATATATTTCATTCAAACATATCAAGTATATTTCATGAAAATATACATTTGAAAAAGGAGAAAACCTGCAAGTGCGAAGCACCGACAAATATTTCTGCCAATTTGGTTTCATTCATTGCCAATTCTTCCGGGGTCGGCGGCAGGGGCGGCAGCCCTTAAATATAAAATGAAAAAATCTTCTGAACCTGCTCCAAGAGACAGCCTGATGCCTGAGCGCAAAGAGATCGGCTGATCTGGCTGGGCCGTGGAGTTGCATGCAACGTTCCGTAAACTCTTCAATGCTCACGTAGCTGTCCCCATCCATGTCCTCAAAACATGAGAATTCAACCGCTATCCTCATTAGATCTCATTAAAACCCTTCTGAACAAAAGACCAACTGAAACTATTTTTCCAAGAAACTGGAGCAACATTGCATTGTGTTTTCCAAAAACAGCAATATTTCTCTTACGCCTTACGCATGCACAAATGGCCTTCGCAAGTAAAGGAACGTAAACACCAGTAGTGCCACACAAGGCAGTGTCGAAGGTTTCAAAGATAGGAAACTATAGGAGAGGTGAGTTGTTGTGACTCATGGATGGCAGAGCAAACCCACTGATGGATCGAAAGGTCGTTAACGTGTCTGGCTATCTGTCTATCTGTCTGTCTGTTTATCTGTCTATCTGCCTACCTGTCTCTGCCTATCTGTCTATCTATCTACTATCTACGTGTCTATCTGTCCATCTGCCTATCTGTCTATCCATCTGCCTGTCTGTCTGTTTACTTTTCTATCTATCTATCTATCTTTCTTTCTTTCTATCTAGCTGTCTATCTAGCTATCTATCTATCTACCTATCTATCTAGCTATCTATCTAATCTAATCTTATCTTTTCTTTTCTAATCTTATCTATCTGTCTATCTATCTATCTAGCTATCGATCTATCGATCCATCGATCTATCGGTCTATCTATCTATCTATCGATCTATCTACCTACCTACCTATCTATCTATCTAACTATCTATCTATGTATCTATCTATCTCTCTCTCTATCTCTCTATCTCTCGCTCTCTCTATCTATCTATCTATCTACCTACCTACCTACCTATCTACCTACCTACCTACCTAGCTATCTATCTATCTATCTATCTAATCTAATCTAATCTAATCTAATCTATCTATCTATCTATCTATCTATCTAGTCTATCGAATCCATCTAATCCATCTAATCCATCTAATATATCTAATCTATCTAAACTATCTGCGTCTTTCTTTCTACCCATCCATCCGTCCATCTACCCGTCAATCTATCATCATCTATCTTTCAGTATCTATCTATGATTGTCGTTCTCTCTGTCACTATCTATCTACCACTGTCTATCTATCACTATCAATCTTTCTTTCTATCTATCTAACAATGTATTTGTCCATATATCTTTCTATCTATTTATCTATCTTTCTTTCTATCTCTCCACCTGTCTATCTCTCTGTCTGTCTGTCTGTCTACCTATCTGTCTTTCTGTATATCTGCCTATCTGCCTATCTGGCTATCTATCTATCACTGTCTATCTGTCTGTCTGTCTGTCTATCTGTCACGTCTGTCTGTCTCTCTGTCTGTCACCTATCTGTCTATCTGTCTGTCTGTGTGACTATCTATCTATCTATCTATCTATCTGTGTATCTATCTGCCTATGTATCTATCTATCTGTCTATCTATCTATCTACCTATCTATCTATCTATCTCTCTCTCTCTCTATCTCTCTCTCTCTCATCATCTCTCATCTATCTGTGTATCTATCTACCTATCTATCTATCTATCTGTCTGCCTATCTATCTCTACATCTGCAAGCTTGAAAACGAAACTTTTTTGCGAGACTTCCATGACTTCCATGGTTGTAGAACTTCACAACATCAAGAACAAAGCGATTCTGCGAGACTTTCCCAATGTTTGAACTTGACAACATCAAGAACAAGAAGCAATTCTGCGAGACTTCTTTCAAAAATGGAAAACTGAGTGCTGAGCTGACAGCCTCGTACCATTAAGTTTTGGGATTTGTCCATCCCATCTCTCTAAAGTATCGCGCCTGCCGCGAAAAAGTGAGGCCAGGTCATACGACGTGCTGCACCTGTCACGCAAAATCACCTTAGCAAACCTGATGATCTGATGCTCCAAAAATGCAACCCGCTCAGGAAATCTGTGCCCTGACCTCCTAACATGTCTGAAGAGATGTCTCTTGTACTGCGCCTGCCATGCGACATGCATCTGTGCAGATCCTCTGCATATGTCCCACTCCTGCCATCATTGTGGAAACTGCTACACCAGGTGCAGAACCCCTTGCGCCTGCCACGAAAATGATCCTTGAACGTCCCAAAAATCGTATGCGCATGCGGTTCTTTATCATTTTGACATCGACATGCGCCACAGCTGCGTGCACTTTTCGAACATCACAACTTCCAACCGTGCTCCGAACTTGGCGCGCTTTGCGCATTGTTACTTCCAAATGTGCCTCGCGCCACAACAGAGTGCACTTTTTCGACATCTGAACTTCCAAAATTGCCCCAACAATGAGATGCTTTTGGCATTTTGATTTCGAACTGTGCTTCGCGCCACAGCGCCGTGCACTTTTCCATCTCTCATCTCGCCAGGTGGCTCCGCACCCGCCGCTTTAGCAAGCCTACTTTTCGACCCTCCAGAGCCCCACAACATTGGAAAAACAATGAAAAACACAGTGTTTCGCGACTTTTCTACCTTTTCGCGCACCTGCATCCTCTTTCTTCTGACTCTTTCTCTTCTCTGATCTTCTTTCTTCTTCTCTCCTCTTCTCTGACTCTTCCCACCTCTGCTTTTCATCTGTCCATATTGTCGGAAGTTTGACTTCTAAACTTACTCCGATCATCAAACGCTGACCACGGCATGGCAATTCTACTGTCTGTTCTCAAAATGTTTTCTGACATGATACAGTAAATGGTTCCCTGCGCGATCCAAGACACAAGGCTCACAAACAAAGTCCACGCATCCATTGCACCTATCTGAAGTGATTCGAAAAACGCTTTCACTGCTTCGTCCCGGAAAAACTCCTCAAATTCACCAAATGTGATCTGCCCGTTGCCACGTTTGTCAATCCTCACGTGGCGGGCAATTCGGAAGATCAGAATTTGTTCAATGCACTCTGTCAATCCTGCACCTCAACCTGCCTTAGAAATCGGACACAATCCAAGAAACTGCGAAAAGAGAATGGTGACCAGATCTTTCAATTCTTGGCGAGTCTGCACCAAAGTTTGGACCACCATCTCGTGGTCGCTTTCAGCAGCTTTAATGGCAGAGTTGCAAAATACTCCTCCGTTGCCGATGTGTCAGTCACGCAAAATCAGGTAATACGTCAACGACAATGTTCCGTCGTTTGTTCTTTTGGACCTTCTTTGGTTGAAATCACAAAGGCACACTGATGTATTTTTGAAACGTTCGCGCATGCCCGTCCTGTCATGACATTTAGCACGGCAAAATTCACAAAAGCAACCTTGGATGAAGAGGAAGACTTTGAAGGACATCTTTTGCATGAGCCGATGTTGGCAAAAAACGGACAGGCACAAAACCAAAACAAAACAAAGCACATCTCAAATGCTCACCAAATGACAATGTGGCCCGACAAGAAAGCAGAAGACTAGCATATATGGTTCCTCCCCAAACCAAAAGTCACACATGGAAAGGGTTCCTTCCAAAGGATACTAGCTACGTAGGGTATGACGACATTTATGACGAAGATAGTTTGATGACGCTGATGATGATGATGATGAAGATGATGATGATGATGATGATGACGACGACGATGAAGATGATGATGATGATGATGATGCTGCTGATGATGATGACGACGACGGTGAAGATGATGATGATGATGATGACGACGGTGAAGATGATGATGATGATGATGATGATTGTGATGATTATGACGATGAAATGAAGATGACGTTGAAGATGACAATAGCGATGATGATGATGATGATGATTGTGATGATTATGACGATGAAATGAAGATGACGTTGAAGATGACAATAGCGATGATGATGATGATGATGATGGCGATGATGATGATGATGATGGTGATGATGATGGTGATGATGATGAAAAGAAGAAGAAAGAAGAAGAAGAAGAAAGAAGAAGAAGAGGAAGAAGAGGAAGAAGAGGAAGAAGAGGAAGAGAGGGCTTTCCACATCATGAGCCCCGTGGTTATCTGCACTGCCGTGGGTGTTCATGGGGCGTCGTCCTGTTGGCGGGGACATCCTCAGCTATCTTGCGTTGCGATCCGCAGGCGCTTCTACACACAAATACGCTGATACACTGATACACCCACACTTGAACAGAACAATCAATCAAATTTGGTCGTTGGAATGTATCAGACGTTCAAAAGACTGGTGGCAAGAAGGAAAAGGAAGTTCAGCAGCATCGAAAATGAAAATCTCCTGCTTCCATCTTCACATGTGTATGACACCAGTGGACCATGAAGAAGCTGCTAGCTTGCAACAACCATTCACCAAAGTCAGTAAAGAGGTTCTCGGCTTCGCCCCATGACTCTACTCATGGTGAAAAGCGATTGGAAAATCGAAAACAGCAGGCAGGTGCGTGGATTTTGCGCCTTGGATCCATATCAGTGACTTGAAACAGCCTCCTCGTGGGACTGCCATGGCCAAAAGTCAAGTTCCATAAAACGTATACTGTATACATTTTTCCCCAAACTAACCGTGTGTCCAAATTGAGGGGTTCTTACGGTAGGAGTAAAGGCCGGTGCTTGATCAGGGTGCTCACTCTGGCCTGCGGCATTTTACCAATAAATTTCCGCATAAAGTGGCTCTTGTGAAATCTTGACATGCGTTTCTACTGCGCAGGCTCGCACAAAGTCTTGGCCTGCGCTCTGGGCCCAATCTGGGCTGAAGCAGGACAGCAAAGGAAAGGAACAAACACACTCGAGGGGGGGTGAGGGGACAGGGGGGGAAAAGCGGGGAGAGGGGTCTCCCAAGCTGTGCGCAGGGGGGAAACTGAGGCCAGTACGTGATGAGAGTGTTACTTCGCCTTATGGCTACTTCTGCTGTGCGGGTACTTCGCCCATAGGGCTACTTCGCCATGTGGCTTACCAATATTTCTGTGTTGAACTTGGAATGCCCAACTAAACATTCAGAATTTCCTTGCACTCGAACTGCAAACGGCTTCAAGATGTTGGCGACATCTCTCTCTAATTCTGGGAAAATGCCCGGCCATCACTTTCATCCACGTCGAAACGTAGAGACGGTACGACCGATTGAGGTTAAGTACCCATGAACACACTGCACGAGGAAAGTTATGGAGCGTTGCAACCTGTGGTATTCGACGCCTTGAGGTCCCAATTCCTAAGCAATCATCCGAAAGAGCAACGGTTCAACAGATCAACTGGTCAACTTGATCGAATCAGGAAAAAAGATTGCGAAGTATGCAAAATTTTAAAAGTCCGGTTCTAAGCTTAGCCGGTTGCTATCGATGCAGGCACACATCAAAGCGTCCTTTGATGCTTCCCCCATCACATCCCAGCTTCGCTGGACCAGGTTGGATGTGATGACAGGCCTGGCCCCCCTGCATATTAATAACATTGAACATTTGAGCCTTTGGGACATTTTCAAACTGCATGTGACTAGCAGTTTACACAAACACACACCAAAAAAAAACTCTGTGCAGTCTTTGCACACAAAAGCTTTTTCCACAAACGTTTTTGCACACAAAAGCTTTGACACAAAGAGGCTTTCATACCAAAAAAACTTTCACACAAATGCTCTTACACACAAATTTTCGCGCAAACGATGTTACACAGAAAGGCTTTTTCGAGACAGGCGATTTACACAAAAACTTGCACAGAAACTTTTTAATGCAAGAACTGCTACACACAGGCGATTTTACGCGCAAGCTTTTCAACGCAAACGCCTTTACACCCAAAAAGCCTTTACACACAGGAGATCTTACACGCTTGAAGCCAGGTGGGGAAGGAAGGAAAGCTAGCAGGGCAGGCGCAATTCTTTTTGATCCGTCAGGGCGGCATGTTCAATATGCCGCCTGTGTGGGCAGGAAAGCAATTGCTTCGAAATCGCTTTTTATGCTTTACACTATCATCCGGCAAGCAGCATAGAAGTGGAAGACCTGAACCCAGAATTCGCCGAACTCCATCTGTCTGAGCGTATCAGCTGCTACATGCCATGTAAGACCATCTGAAATGGTGCGGAAGAGGGTGGTGATGGACGAAGAAAGAGCTCCGAAGTATAGCTCAGCTTGGTCGCTGACTTCTGTGGACTGCCCAGCCAGGTCTGCTAGAATGATGTGATCGAGAACAGCATCAGTGAAGAGGATACCGAAGATGTACCTGGAAAAAAAAACATTGTTGACATATGCAGTCACCCTTGAAGTCCACCAGAAACAATCAGGGAAAAGAAATTGCCGTCGTAGGTGTCACGCTGCATAAAAACAATTTTGGGGCCAAGGGTTTCTACAAGGGGAAAGGTCATTGCAGGAACTTGAAGAAAGGGAAGATGTTGGCTGTTGGAACCTTTACTGGGGTAGTCTTGTCAAAAGAATCGAGAAGGAAAATACTGGCGGGTTTGCTTATGCCAGGGTGCATGATCAAAAAGAGCAGCAGCAAGGCCCAGAACAATGTTTTCAATGTGCCTACTAAGGATTGCACCAAAGTCCTCAAGGACCGGAACAAGCGCACCACCCGGATGATGCGCACCACACGAAATAGCCGACCCACACGCAACAGCCGAATCAAGCGGAGGTTGGTGTTTGTTCCCCGGCTTGGGGTCCCAGGAGTCCCAGGAGTCAATACATCGATGATGAGCTCAATCCAAGAAGAAGAGACGATGAAAACATCCAAAAGATTCCAGGCCCATTCTGAGGCACAGAAGTACTTCCAGAATCCATCGGCAAGTAACCGTAGCCCAACTTCCACAGTGAAAAGCACTGCATAAACTATATGGATGTACAGGAAAAGGGTGTCAGCAGAAGAGTCTTTTGCCACCGCATGGTATTCAAGCTGCGCTCCAAGGTACAATGAGTTTGTCAGCACCACCAAGGCAAAAAATGCATTTGACACATGAGAGCTTACAAGCAGTCGAGCATATGCTCTCATCCTTTGCCACCCAGTCAAGTCCTGTGCGGTTTCTGACATCATGCCTGTCACTTCCTCAGATTCTGTTGCCTGCCGCAAGCGCTGCTGGCTGATTATGCGGGCCAAGTCAGCGCTATTTGTAGCTCCATCACCTGCATCACTGTTGTCAGAGCTGATCAAGCCTGTATCTTTTGACCTGGAATTTCTTCTCTTCTTGCTATCCCAGGTGATGGACAGGTTCCGGCTCAAGACCACCTCCTCCGCAGCAGAGCCTAGATCTGGTCCTGCCACTAGTGTTTTTTCCGTTCCTTTTTTGATATGTTCTTGGAGCATGACTTCGACCCGCTGCAACCACACATCGAGCTTTTCGAACATCTCATATCGATGTTCCTGGAGAACTTCATCCATTTTCACCGGATCTTTCTTGCGCAGCTCCATCTGCCCAGAATCTGCCATGGATCAATATTTCCAGGCTGCAGCCTACGACTGTGATGGCTCCTACTCTGTAAGCCAATGGTGCACAAGGTATCAAGACGATTAAACTCCAACAAGTCTGAAAAAATCCAGCAACATATAATTTGAAAACGGCCAGAGGTGAGAAAGGTGCGCAAACACTGCGAGAGGCAAAGGAGGGACTCTATTTCCAAAGGCTTTCTGCGAGGCTGCGTTTGTAGGATCAGCATCACAAGACCTTTAAAGCGTGCGAAGCTGAGTCTGATGCTCCAGATGCTTTGGATTCCTGCGGCTGCTTTCCTCAAAAGCACTCACCTCACGTTTACACTTTGAAAAGCTTTGAGCGAACGCAGCATGAGACTGAAGTGGATAGCAAGGAGTCAAACATGCAGCTTCTGCTAGCATCCAATCTATCTATGGAGCAAACACCCCTACGTGCACATGCTTAGCAGTGTGCTTTCGGGCTGGCTGTGATTCTCCGGATTTTCCCCGATCGCAGTGCATGCACATGTTTCACAATTTCAGCACGCATGAACAGGAACAAAGAACCCTCCAAACCTGTCCCTGTGCCAATGAGACTGCGCCGGACATCGGAGTGAAACTGCAACAAGACTGACTGGCCTGAAGCCGAATTAGACGTGCCAAAATATGTTGAACTCCTCCCGGCCGGATAAGAGAAAATCAATCCTCTTCTGCCGATCTTCTATCTGCTGAAGCTGCTTGCTGAGGTTGGCCTTTGCTTGGCAGTGGATTGCCACCCAAATTCAGCAGATTCAGAAGATAAAACATTGCCATCGGAATCGTAAACAATATGTAAAAGTTGTTGATGCCAAGTGGCTGTGAGCTGCCGGATTGCGTAGAGGTCTGCAGATTTGGCCGGGCCATGGAGCTGCATACATCGCTCCGTAAATTCTTCGACGCTGATGGTGTGGTCCCCATCCTTGTCCTCAGAAAATTCCAGGCATTGGGCCCTTCGTCAAACGTTTGAACGAAATGGTGGGGGTACTGGCGATCTGCGGAAAGCCAAAAAGCGGTACCAAAACATATGAAGAATCCGCATTACTGACCATCAAGCAGGCTTTAGATCAATGTGGGCTCCTGATTAGTGTGGTGGGTCGCTTTTGTATCCCCATTGACATTGCAGGGGGTAACTCAAGTGACCCCCAAGCTAGAAAAGTTCTGACCCACTCAAAAGCCTAGAAAATGCAAAAACCAAGTAAAATTGGACGGTTTATTTGATTGGTTGGGCTATTCATTTTCTAAAGGGATGTATGGGTGTTTTGGACATGCATTTTTTTAAACAAACAGGTGCATGAGAGTACGATTCACCACTTTGGGTCTAGAAAATGATCTGTAATGCCATCATAAGAACCATAAAAAATGTTCTCTAAAAAAAATAGTTTCAAAAATGGAGGACCAGAAATGAACAATGTTTTCTTTAGAAATTGAATTGTGCAAACCTTGCTAAGGCAGGTAATCCATATTCCCCAGGAATCACCAGAAAACATCAAATTGAGTCAGTTCTGCCACAAAAAAAACAGAGACTGACCTGTAATCCAACGCCATCGTAAGTGATGTATTCCTCTGCCCAAGACTTGTTGAAGATTGGTTGATAGAAACAAGGTTGGCCAAGGTCTCTATATTTCTTCGGTTCGACACCATGTCTTGTCAAACGTTTCAAGAAAATGCAGCTGTTAAACAACAAATTTTCTACAAAATGAATCAACATGCCTTGGTAAAAATCCCCTTTCCATTTTGGGGGTAGCTCAAATGATCCTCATGTGCGAGACAAATTAACGGAACAGTCACAAGTCACAAGCCTGGAAAACGAGAAAAACAACGATAAAGATCGATGTTCTTGGGGGCCTGGTCAAATCATTGCCTAGATATGTTTATGCCTGTTCTACACGTGCATTTTTTTAAAGAAAACAGGCACATGGAAGTGCAACTCATCATCAACTCACGACTTGTTCTCTAGAAAATGATCAGGAATAGCATGAAGCTGCACCAGTCAAAAAAAAACAACAAATATGTGTCAAAATCCAAGACCCAAAATAAGTGATGTTTTCTCTAGAAAATGAACTGCCTAACCCTTCCTGAAACCGGCACCCTATATTCCCCAGGAAGCCCCAGAAAACATCAAATTGGTCCCCTAGGAACTAAAACCTCATTTCAAAAAAACATGATCCAAGGAATCCCCCCCCCCAAACAATGATGTCATCGACCCTTTCATGCACAGGCATTTTCTAGGCAAACATTGAATGAGCCAAGGGCTTCCCAAAATACTAATGTCTCTGTTTGGCTTACACTTCATTCAAACAATGTTGCGCATTGGCACTTCAAGATTTTGGCACTTTCGAGTGAACCCTGAAGTTCCGTCTGCACAATTTTGGAATAAACAGTTCAAAAAAACACATATCATCACATGACATTTCAACAAAATCTCGATAAATTATGGTCAAATTATATATGTTTCCTGGATACCCCAAATCGTCTAGAAAATGCATGGCGCAATCAATTTGGCTCTTGATATCAATCTAGCAGCTGTCTAGAAAATAACTTGATATGGAAGGATGAACTTGGCCCTGGGCATGGGGTTTTTTAAGCATTCCCCAGGAATGACCCAGGAAGCATTCGGACAAGAGTTCGTTTGTTTTTTTTTCAGCCCTTATCTATCCTTATCTCTCTAGAAAATGGTCAGATACATTTATATATATAATCATGAAGGACCTTTTCGACTTTCCCCAGGAAATGTAGGGAAATTGACTGGGCGGGGAGTTTCTAGCTAGAAAATGGGGGTCACTTGAGTGACCCCTTAGAATCTTGGAAATTTCAATGGGGATGCTTTTGTGCCAAATTTGTTTGAAATTATTCAGACCCAGGGGAAACTGGTTGGGTGGGTCGGTTTTGTGCCATTTTTTTTGGTGTATTTTTTCAGTTCGTTTATTTTTATACAAATTTCCAAATTGTTTAAATTATTTCTTAGTTTGTTGTTTACTTTATTTCAATTGTCCTGTTTTTTATATTTAATTTTATTTTATACAAAAAATAATTCATGTTTTCATTTATTTATTTATTTATTTATTATTTTTCATGTTTTCCATAAGCAATATTGATCCTAAATAATATGTTTGTTGTGGTTGTCCTCTATTGTGTCCAGCTGTTGTCTGAAGAATTTTTTATTTCATTTTTCATGTTTTTTCACGAACAATATTGCTCCTAAATAATATGTTTGTTGTGGTGGTCCTCTATTGTGTCCAACTGTTGTCTGAAGAAACAATTTTTAAGGTTAATTATGACCCATCAGCAATAATTAATTGCTTAATTATATAGGATGCCTTATTAAAACATATTTAAAAAAAAACAGCACCCAAACAATTTTCCAGGGGGCAGTCCATGAGCAACCCTAATCCTCAATAGTATGTTTGTTGTGGTGGTCCTCTATTGTGTCCAGTTTTTTTTGGGATTGTTTTTCCAAAATCCTTCTCTCCTTTCCTTTTCCTTTTCTTTGCTAGAGCTTTTGTCTCTTACTTAGTTCAATTCTCCTGGCCTCCCCTCCTTGGTTTCTATGGCGTTTCTATGGGATTTTGACAAAATTTCTATGGAAATTCTATGTAATTTCTATGGTGTTTCTATGGTATTCTATGGTGTTTCTAGAGGTGTGTCTATGGTAGTTCTGTGGGATTCCTATGGGGTTTCAAGAGGATATCTATGGGATTTCCTTTGGATTCCTATGGTGTTTCTGTTGTATTTTTATGGTGTTTCTTTGCGATGGACATGATATTTCTTTTGGATTTCTATGATATTTCTATGAGGATACTATTGGATTAAAAAAAAACTATGATATTTCTAGAGGGTTTCTTTGGGAATTCTCAAAATGTTTAATTTCCCAAAACATAGGATGCCTTATTAAAACCCAATTAAAAAACAGCACCCAAACAATTTTTCCAGGGGGTAGTCCATGAGCAACCCTGATCCTCAATAGCATGTTTGTTGTGGTGGTCCTCTATTGTGTCCAGCTTTTTTTTGGAAGTAAAAAAAACAAAATCATTCTCTCCTTGCCTTTTCCTTTCATTTGCTAGTATGTTTCTCTTTTTTGCTTTCCTAGCTCCATTCTTTTGGAATTCTCAAAATGATGAAATTCCCAAAATATAGGATGCCTTATTAAAACCCAATCAAAAAAAAAACGCCCAAACAATTTTTCCAGGGGGTAGTCCATGAGCAACCCTGATCCTCAATAGTATGTTTGTTGTGGTGGTCCTCTATTGTGTCCAGTTTTTTTTTGGAAGTAAAAAATCCAAAATAATTCTCTCCTTTCCTGTCCCTTTCCTGTCCTAATATTTTTATATATCTTTTTTACTTTCTTAGCTCCATTCTTTTGGATTCTCAAAATGGTTAATTTCCCAAAAAAAAGGATGCCTTATTAGAACCCAATTAAACAACAGCACTCAAACAATTTTTCCTAGGGAGTAGTCCATGAGCAACCCTGATCCTCAATAGTATGTTTGTTGTGGTGGTCCTCTATTGTGTCCAGCTTTTTTTGGAAGTAAAAAAAAAATCATTCTCTCCTTTCCTTTTCCTTTCCTTTGCTAATACTTTTTTCTTTTTTACTTTCCTAGCTCCATTCTTCTGGAATTCTCAAAATGTTTAATTTCCCAAAATATAGGGTGCCTTATTAAAACCCAACTTCCCTTTCCCTTTCCTTTGCTAATACTTTTCTCTTTTTTACTTTCCTAGCCCCATTCTTCTGGAATTCGCACAATGTTTAATTTCCCAAAACATAGGATGCCTTATTAAAACCCAATTAAAAAACAGCACCCAAACAATTTTTCAAGGGGGTAGTCCATGAGCAACACTGATCCTCAATAGCATGTTTGTTGTGGTGGTCCTCTATTGTGTCCAGCTTTTTTTGGAAATACTTTTTCCAAATAATGTTTCCTTTCCTGTTCCTTTCCTTTGCTAGAGCTTTTGTCTCTTACTTAGTTCAATTCTCCTGGCCTCCTCTCCTTGGCTTCTATGGCGTTTCTATGGGATTTGGACAAAATGTCTATGGAAATTCTATGTAATTTCTATGGTGTTTCTATGGTATTCTATGGTGTTTCTAGAGGTGTGTCTATGGTAGTTCTGTGGGATTCCTATGGGGTTTCAAGAGGATATCTATGGGATTTCCTTTGGGTTCCTATGGTGTTTCTGTGGTATTTCTATGGTATTTCTTTGGGATGTACATGATATTTCTTTTGGATTTCTATGATATTTCTATGAGGATACTATTGGATTTTAAAAAACACTATGATATTTCTAGAGGGTTTCTTTGGGAATTTTATGGGGTGTCCATGAAGTTTCTTTGGAATTTCTATGGTGGTTCTATGCCTTTGATATTTCTATAGGGTTACTATGTGGTTTCTATGGGGTGTCAATGGTATTTTCTATGGGCTTCCTATAGGGTTTCAAAGGGATGCCTATGGTGTTTCCATTGGATTCCTGAGGGATTTCTTTGGGGTTTCCATGGTATTTCTTTTGGATTTCTGTGATATTTCTATGGGATTACTATTGGATTTCTATTGGATTTCTGTGTGATTTCTATGGGATTTCCATGGTTGTTCTTTGGAATTTCTCTGGGATTTCAGAGGGATGCCTATGGGATGTCCATTGGATTTCTATCAGATTTTTTTGGGACCTCTATGGTATTTCTATGATTTTTCTATAAGGTTTCTCTGTGGGTTTCTGTGGGATTTCCATGAAAATTCTATTGGGTTCTATGATATTTCTATGGGGTTACTATTAGATTTCTACGGGTTTCCTATGGCATTCCTTCGGAACTTCCATGGTGTTTCTATGATATTTCTATGGGATTACTATGGGATTCCTGAAGGGGTTCTATGAGATTCTTATGGGGTTTCTTTGTGGTTCCTATGCTATTTCCATGTTATACCTATGATTTTTCTA